TCTCACACTCCGCAGCGCCCCTCCTCTCCATGCTGGCCCGTCTCCTGGTGCCCCCACCCCCGGCACTCACGCAGCAGCACCGCCTCGGCCCGGCCCTCGCCCAGGATGGGCTCGAAGATGCGCAGGAGCGGCTTGGCCAGCTGCTGCTCCAGGTAGTACTGGGTGTCGATGGGCAGGCTGTGCTCGAGCACGAACAGGGGGTCCTGGGGGTCAGAGGGGATGTGGTCACCCACAGGGAGACTGGCTGGTCACCGATGGGAGGGGCTGTGTGGGTCCCAGTGGGTAAGGAGGTGAGCTGCCCAGGCAAAGAAGGCAAGCGGTTCCAATCCACCAGCTGCTCTTTGAAAGAAAGATCTCCCTCCGGTCCGATTTACAGCCTCTGAAAGCCCACCGGAGGGTCAGCTGACTTGGCTCTGACTCGCCAGTCATAACCACAGGTACACTGAGTGTGGATGAAGGGATGCGGGCAGTCACACAGGGAGCACGGGCAGTGGGGGTACACAACATCCCACACGTGGGGAGGGGTCCCCCAGTCAGATCCCGGGGAGGGGGGCTCTGCCTCTGGGTCTGGAGTGAGTTGAGGTGAGGATTCTGAAGGAGGGTCCCGGGGGTCAGAGGTCACAGCCTGGAAATCCAGGGGCAGGGCGATGATGAATCCATGGGAATTAGACAGAGGTGGTGACAGACGGACAGAGGGCTTGGCGAGCAGGGGGAGGGCCTTGGGCCCCCTGCAGAGAGGGGCTAGGACTGAGACAAGACAGAGGATGCTGGGAGCCCAGAAGCAGTGCCATGGGGCACCCCAGACTGCTGGGGACCCCGGGTGTGTCTGGGGCAGTTCCCAGGATCCCACGGGGCCCTGGAGGGAGCCGCTCTGCCCAACCCCCCTCCCGCTGGAAAGCAGAAGTGAGAGTGGGGGTGCTGGGAGGGGCCGGCCAGGTGGGGCAACCTCAGACTTCATGTACGCAGCCACGCCCTTGGCAGCCCCAATGATCACGTAGGGGACACGGTCGCCCAAGCTGGGTGCACTCCCGGGGTCCCGCTTCCTCATCCTGTGGGGGCACAAGGCGGAGGGTGAGGGCAGGTGGGGCGGTGGGGCTCACGGGAAGTGGCTGCCCAGCTGGCACCGGGGAGCTATTTCGGGGGCCCCGGCCCGGGCCCGCGGACCTCTCCGCCAGCTCCACGTGCGCCTGCTTGCCCGTGTAGTCGGCCGCCGCGCGCGTCAGCTCCTTGGTGATGACCAGCTGCGAGATGTCAATGCGGTTACACAGCAGGTCCGAGATGACCTCCTGCGCGTGGGCCACTGCGCTGGCTGGGTCCCTGTGGAGGGCAGAGCCAGGAGTCACCGGTGTCACACAGGACGCCCGACACCTCAACATGCATGCCCCAGCTTGGGGGGGTCAAGTGGACACATAACAGAGGCGCAGGGCAGGGAAGGGAGGGGTGTGGGGCAGAACTGCAAGGTGGGGGTGACACAGCTGCCCAGACTATGCGCCCCACGGATTCCACTATGTTGGAAAGCAGATGTCCACGGCCCCGGGAGGAGTCTAGGCAGAGCTCTGGAGCCTGGGGACCAGGATGCCTGGTCTGGGAGGACTGTGGGCCTAGACTGCCGAGAAAGGGGACCAAGAACCAGGACAGACGGGGAAGAAGGGACTGTGGGAAGAGGGCAGGGCTCCCAGGTGCACTCCTGGGTCTGCAGGAGGAGGGTCTGAGGGAGGAGGGTCTGCAGGAGGAGGGTCTGAGGGAGGAGGGTCTG